CAGCATTTTCCCTCCCACCGGAGTGAGAGTCCCCATTTATCTACTCACGTGAGTTTTCGAATCCCATTTCTCCTCTGCTGTCTCCTATTATATAGTGTCAGCCCCACTAGACAGACCAGACCAGACCAGGAAATTAACTCCACAGGAAGGCTAGAACTACTTGTATTGAGATGGGCAGTAAGAACAGAATTTTGCAACTCTGATTGTGCTGGACCTCCTCCTCCTCCTCCCTATAGTTCAGTGATTTAAGGAGGAGTCTGCCTGAGTTGCTTCTTGATCTTATCTCATTATTTTGGACTTGATGTTTCACCCCCCTTTGCTTAGGTAATGGTTCTCACATATTTCCATCAAGGCCATTTTCCTTACTCTCTACATACAGATAGCAGCCAATCCCAATATGCTGGATTCCAACCCACATTATTCTGCCACTTGCAATGGTCCTAGAAAGGGAGGCAACAAAGATTCTTTACCAACCAACTAATGTAGAGGGCACCTGGCTGGGAAATCTGCTTTCAGGCCCAAAAAGCTACCTTGCACCTGGTCAGACTACTAAACTCAATATTCTGCAGGCAGTAGTTCTTCAGAACTGTTGAGGACCTCTCTCTCATCCCTACTGGTTCTCTGGAGCTCAATTGGAGATGTTTCACCTGCAATGCAGGTGCTCTCTTGCTATCAAAGGGACTTCCTCCAATCAGTTCTTCCAGCTCTCTCCTATTGGCTCACTTTATTTTTTTCTCAAGCCATTTTAAACACGGTTGCTTCATTTATTTCTTCAGTTTAGAACGGTAAAGGTATTCATTCACGTAACTACTCTGTATTAGTCACTATCTCAGTAGTCTAGTATTTTCATTATCTAATCTTGGTACTCACTTTTTATATTTTTTTAAAATTATTTTTCGGTGCCTTCATATTTTTCATTTTCTTCACATTTTGGGGATTATTCAAATTTCAGCCACTAGTTTCCAGTTTCATAACTTTATTCTCCCCACCATTTCTTTCTCTCTCTGGATGGCACAACCCACTGGGATCTGATCTATCAGATCCTCAGACCTTTAAGAAATCCTTTGTTATTTACCATTCTCTGCATTATTTAAGATGGCTGATTGTGATCACTTCCATCTTTCTTCCTTTAATGTCTTATGATTTGACTGCAGGACTTCCAAGGGGCCCTTTCACTCTGTCTAGAATAGTCAAGTCACTTTAAGTGTTTAATAATTACTTGTGGAAGTTCTCTACCTGTTATCCAATCCTCTGATAGATTTCTTCATGAACAAATACCTCAAAGCACAGACTCTCCAGGTAGGAGATAGGCTTGAGGCTGGAGTTTTCCAGGGCAAAAATGCTGCAAATATCAATAATCAACTGCCACCTTGCACAGAGAACAAGGAGCATAAAGCAGGGTATTTAATAAAATGTGAAAAACACAGGAAGAAAAGGCACCCAATTTAAATCAAGATGCAGGTAGCAGCTTTAACTGTCAGGAGGTAATCAACTGTTTGAAGTAGTTTCAAATGCCCTGGCAACTGATGCCTTGATCACCAAGCGTGTAGACTACTGCAACATGTTTTAATTGGGTCAGCCTTTGAGATGACTCAGAATCTGCAATTGGTACAGAGTACAGTAGCCAGACTGCTGCTAGGACAGCCCCACCACAGTAGTGGTTACTAATAATCTTCCAGGCTATTCCAAAGTGCTTGTTACTTACAAAATCTGCATGGCATAGCATCTTGTTTCAACAGGTGTTGACTTGCTATAGTTGACTCTGCTAGGCTGATCCAAACTTCATGAGAAGGCCTGCTGAGTGTTCCACCTCTCTGGGAAGTACAGGTGGCAGGCCTTCTCTGGGGTGGTCTTTATGCTCTGGAGCATGCTTCCTCCAGAGATACATGGGGCACCCTTCCTGTATTTTGCAAGGCAGAGAAATCATATCTTTTCCATTGTATTTAGCCCTAAACTGACAGATTATGGGTGCTTGCTTTATTTGATTTTAATATCTTTGAGACTTTCTTTCACTTTTCATTGTCTGGCCTTGTTTTAACTTCTTGCTTTGTTGTACAACTGGCCAGAATCTCATAACTGGGTGGGATACAATTATTGTATAAGAAATAAACAATACATAAATCCTAGACATCAATAAAGATCCTTCACTAGCCATGCCATGCCAAATGTCCAGGAATCTTCAGCCAAGCTAAAGCCAGCCAAAAGGGAAGCCAGACACTCAGAAGAAGCCTGGCAAGTTCTTATAAAACCAACACTTCAGAAGGTAAGAAGCCTGGACCTCATTCTTTCAAAGATCTGTTCAATAAACCCAACCTTTTATTTCCTGTTGTTTCTACCATGACAACAAGCATGTCATCTCATCTCCTTCCTCCATGATGGCTGCAGAATTCGCAACAAAAGACCACCATTCCTGCCACTGCTTTTGGGAATCCTAATTTTCTTTAGTGTCCTTAATGGGAAATTGCTTCCATGCAGCCATAGAGAGTAGCAAAAGGTATGTTTTAAGGAGTACATATTGAATGATAATACCAATAGACCTGTGACCAAAATGACTCACACAGGATACTGAAGTTTAGACTGATTATGTGCTATCAAGCTGATGTCGACTCTTAGTGACCACATAAATGATCTGTCCCCAACCTGGTCAGTTAGAACGTATCTAATGCTACATATTTACAGTCATAAGCCTGGAGGATTTAACGTTCCCCAGCACAAGCTGAGTATATACAAAAGTTTATCCATCATGACTGATACTGAAAAGCTTCTCTGACAGTCAGATAATGCAAACAAGGTTCCCAACAGCACAAAACACATAAGGTTATAATTGACCCATGACACTTAAAAAAAAAAAGATAAGCAACAAGCTTGCGTGAGATTACATTCTTGACTTGACAGAAATATCCTGTCCTGTCAAATAGCAGGTAAAGAACTAACAGTTCAATCAAATGTAGGCTTTGCCAGTCACATAGGGCTCCCTGAGCCAAGACAGAAAAGGGTAGGTAAAGGATCAACTCATATTCTCTTTGCTGTGTCAGCAAAGAAAATCCAGGATGAAGCTGACACAGTTAGGCAATAATCCTTCATAGTAACCTTCTCCAGAGATCTGAACTTACTGGTTCGACTAACATCCGAGCCCACCTGTGACCTGCATACGTGGCAATAATTCTAATGAATACTTCAAAATCAGCCATATTGCCAGTTGGCAGGCGAACATGGATGATAAATTATTTTTGTAAAAGTAGGCAAGGAGATCTGTTTTGTCCTTGGGCTACTCAACTTTGAAAAATGCCTAGGACCATCAAAAGAAGGGGAGATGCCTTGGCCCTGTGGAGACAAATCCCAACATCTCCTTCTTGAAACAATTCTTCACTTGATGGTCTTCACTTGAAATGTTTTAAAATACTGATTTTTGCACTGGGGGGCAGAAGATGGAGGGTGGGAAGAGAAATTACCTCTGCAACCTTTGGAGGAACTCCATCTCCAAGAACTTCCCTAATGAAGCATTGTTGGCTCATGTAACACGAGAGTCCGCAGGTCCTCTTGAAGGCATCTTTCAGCCGTTTTAGCTCTACGTCCGTCACTATATTGAACAGAAGAAAAGAGAGAGAGATGGAGAGGAATTAGGGACATTTATTTTAATCAAGGAATTTGCACAAACAAAATAGCAATTTTTTGGTTAAGTCTGCTGGAACTGAATAATCCCCATCTACTATGCAGGACTTAACCAGCTTGATATAATGTTCTCTGATGCTCTTGTAGTCCAGTAAAAGGTCCTCTGCTTCTTGAGGATGAGACAGGGCTCTCTACAATGTGATGCACACATCACTATTAGATAGTGCCTAGCCGCCTCCATATTAAATAAATATTTATCTAATTATATTCACAGAGAAAAAAAGTTTTAAAAAACCCAAATGGCTAAAACCATGAGTTCTCACCTGAGATCTTAGCTTTCTTCCTCATTTTAGAAAAACATGACTTTTTTGTTTTTGTCTGTGCCAAAAAAACAATGGTGCCCACCCGCATAAAAGATTACTGACCCCTGAACTCCACTAGAGCCTTGCCTCGTTCTGCTCAAGAGCACTGAGCTCCAGTAGCCACCATTCAGTTGCCCTTCAATGTCTGAGACCTTTTATTATTTACAGGATTGCAACTGCTAGTGGAAACAGCTCTTTTTGGGGGATGCCCACTTATAGAATCACAGAAATAGGAGTCACTGAAATTATTGAGTTCACTTCTCTGTTCAGGGCTGGAATCCAAATTAAAGCATCTGCCAGATAGTTGTCCAGCCTCCATTCAAGGCATCCACCATTCTCTGGATCATTGGCTCTACCGTCAAACTGCTCTTACTATCAGGACATTGTTTCTAACTGTTGGAATCTGCCCTTCTGTAAGCTAACTCCATTATTCTGTGCCGTGAACTCTGCAAAGAAAGAGAACAAATCTTCACCTCCTCCTAGGTGATTCACTTCAGGTGTTCGAAAACCAGGATCCTATGCCCTCACAGCTATCTTTTCTCAGGGTTTAACATTCCCAGTTCCCCTGCCTCTCCTCACAAGGCCTTAGTTTTGAGTCCCTTGGCCATCCTCATGGCTCTCTGCTCCCATCTCGAATCCTTATTTGGCCCACCCTGTCCAAGACTGATTCAGCATGAGGGCACTGTGGTACTGTACACTGGAAAGAAAGCTGATGCTCACAGTAGCTTTGCACTCCTTCACAATTCAAAAAGGGGGAAAAAGAGTGGGGTAAAGGCATCCACATACCCCTTGCATTACAAGGTAAACTCAACCACCTGTCCATCTTAGAGACAGCATTCTACCTATAAGGTGACCACCTCTGAACATATTGCTGGGCCCTCCTCAAAACTCTGAATGAAGGAATTTGGCAGGAATACTGTTATTTATTCCCAGTACAGTCCTTCACCTCCAATCCATGTTTGCATTTTCATATGATGTGCATAATTGATAGCACCTAATGAATTTTTTCTCCTTACAGAACTTTTGTGTTACAACCCAGCATTTCAAAAACTGCCTGGCACTTTCTCGGGATTTTGAACTGAGTAGATGGACAGAGGAATAAAATATGATTAAAAAACAACAACAACACAGAATACTCATTTTCATGGCTAAAATATTTACTGTGTTGCTCTTGGATCTATAGGCATTTTGTTCATCTGCACAATGGTATGAATTTGAAACATAGGAATTCTCAACTGTGAGAAAGGAATGCTTCTAGACTCCCATTTTTCTTGGATACACAATAATACCCTAAAATAAACACCTCCTGGGCTGCCATGCTCTGTTATTATCCTTGCTCAGCCACAGAAGGAAAAAGAGTTGTAACCAAGATACTTGACAACCATTATCAGCTACACAAAGCACAATTGGAATCATGTCGATGGGGAGGAGAAAGGACAATCAAAGGCAGGAAGAACCATCAGCTGAGGCCAGGTGGGTTTGATACGCCCCATGGTTTATCCTAGTGAGAAAGTGTGAAATATTATGCTAATATAAGTGGAGGTCTTAACAAACCACAGCCATAAGAACAGCCAGCCAAAGATGGAGTCTGTGCCACACATCAGGGCAATCAAGTTCTGCAAAATCTAAGAACGCCTTTGCTCATCATTGGGAGGTCTGCATTAGTAAATGAATCTGAATCAAAAGGTCAATCGGCAAATTAATTTCAAGAGGGCTTTCTCTCTCAAAATGAGTCTACCTGGTAATTAAGACTTTCAACTAAAATTATTTGGATGCTTTACCTCCAGAAAACAAGAGAATTGTTATTGGACAGAGGGGTTTTTCAGTGGGTGGCACTGAAAGTATAGAAACTTTCCCTTAAATATTTTGAATGGAATCAATGCATTATTGCTTGGGGGCCATCTTGTTCTCTCAAGTTTTTAATGATATTTGATTTGCCACTAAGGATACCAGAGTCCATCTTTAGAGTCCATCACTCTAAAAATGAGAGGGATGTGCTAATCTCTCAGGCTTACTGGGTAGTGGGGGGAACGGAAGGAGGGAAACTACAGTAGCTACAGTAACCTAGTTGTGGAAATAATTCCAAAAACATGACAGCAAAACAGTGTGAATTGAATGACTAAGGAGAAATATATCTCACTGAAAATGCACAGAAGAAAAATCAGTTGGCTTCATTGTTTAGCTAATTCTTAATTGTTACCCTTCTTATGAAGGCTCTTGTTTTATTATATTTATTTTTTGTAGGATTTCAAAACCTACAAAAATGTAGGATATCAAACCTAATATGTAGTGGTTTCCATAAGGAGGAATGATGGCTTAGATGCTGGAAGTACATGTTACAGCTGTTACTGTACTGACAAAACCAACTCTGTTCTTCAGCTCTCCTCCTATTAATCCAACAGCATTTGTGCATGGAGTTTGACATTGTCTACAATGGTCAACAGAAGTTCATTGGGATTTTCCAGAGCTTCTGTCAGCCCCAACCAGAGGTGTCGCAGAATGATCCTGGAGTATTCTTTATGCTAGGTATGTGCATATGGGCCAGGATACTAATGAATGTTGATTTTTAAGAAAGTATAGGGTACTGCTTTATACTGAGTAAACCACTGGTCACAATATATTGCTAACACTAACTGGCAGCAGCTCTCCAAGATCTCAGAAAGGAACCTTTCCTTCTTCATCACACAGCCCGGAAGACCCACACCAGCTTTCCTTCTTCATCTGGAGCTGCTGGGGAAAGAACCAGGGCCATTCCAGATGCAAAATGTGTACATCAACACTGAACCCCACTCTTGCAAGCAACTATCAATGACATCTGAGGGGGATTTACCTGACAACTTCATGTCATACATTTTAGGTGCCTGAACATTGTGAAGGAGAGAAAAGGGACTAGATCAGCAATGGGCAACTTGGGTTAGATCAAGGGCCACAGCTGGCTTTTGAATAAGAAGCCAGGGGATGTCATTCTGGAAAGCAAGCAGAGGGAAAAAGTGGGGTAAATCAGTACAATAATGATATCTGAGTTATCTGAGCACTGAAGATGTTACCTAGCCGGGTAATGAAACGTTTGCAAGAAAAGAACCAAGCTCAGAGAACCCCAAGGACTCCACAGTTCAACCCCGAGCTACACATATTCGCCTCCATTGATATCTGAGTTAATTTAATTAAATTTATATTAGTTACAGTTAACTCTTATTCCCTGTGTGTGTCTAATAATTTATTGTCCCATTGATTTTCCTGAGACTTGTCATGATTAGCTCTTTTGATCACACACATTTTCTGTCTATCAACATTCTTTCCAAGAGCTGAATCAGGAGGATTCTTTTTAAATACATGTCGGGGGATGTAGCGGTAAATGCATTAGAACAGCAACTACTGTCTGGCATCAGACATACTTATGAAAATTATATGCACACTGCACCTAGTTCATAAACTTAAAAAACATGATCAGCTGTTTCTCCTCCAATTCATCATACCTTTGTGATATTGCCTTTCAGTGTGGAATGAGTGGCATAGCTACAGGGCTGGATGAGAATGCTCCCATTCCCAGAACAAGGCCCTTACAACAAATTAAAAATTGAAGCTTCATAAATATTGTGAGGGGGTAAAATATTTGGCGTTATTTAGCAGATACTTGAAAAGCAGTGTCAAGAGGAATAGATTCTTTTCTGCTTCTGCCTGTCCCCTGAGGTTAAGGAAATGGCAATTCAGGCAGTGAAGTTCATCTATTCCATTCTACTTTCTGTCTGCAAACAGAATGAAAGGATTTCAAGTCCTGGGGACAAATTCTCATCTGTACACCCAGCATTCCCATCTGTTGCCAGCAAGTACATGATGAAGATTAAGCCTTCTGAATGAATTTGGTCTTTTTCCAGAAGGCCAACTGCACTGCTAACATCTGAATGTCTGCACCAATAATAAATATAAATATATTGTGAGTTGAACACGCACAAAAAACCCAAGGGCTTTTTTTTTTTTTGACGCAGAGCCAACATCTAGAGCTAGAGCTGGTTTGTAAATAATTTCTATTTCAGCCCACCTTGTGCTGGCACAGAAGAAAGACTTCTAGTTCCAATCTCCATTTCAGAATATTAAACAATTTAAGAATCCTTAACCAAGATGGGGAAGAACCACAGCTCCATCCTAGAATGCATGCTCTGTTTGCAGAAGATGCCAGGTTTAATCTTCTTAAGATTTACTGTCCTTAATAATTAATAGAACACATACTGCTACAGCCATTTCCAGCTCGCAATCCTAGCAATAATAAAAACGCCATGTCTTTAGCTGTAAAGACTTTACGAATTATCCATCCCCCCTGCCCCCAAAAAAGATCAAGGAGGATGGGAGGAAAGAAACCCTACGGCACCAGGGAGAGCTCAAGCATTATGTCTCTGAACAACAAACTGACGTGCAAGAAAAGCACCCAAGACTTTAATGAAAGAATCAGAGCCCAGCAGCCAAAAGCTTGTTATGTCCAGTCAGTGTGCTATTCTTTGCTTCATCCAGAGCTCACAGGCATGTGATCCTCTCCTCCAGACTGATTTTTCTTCTCATTCCTGGAGGCCTGTTCCTAGGCTTATTCTACACAGTTTTGTTGGCTGCCCTC